GTAATGTAAACAAAATGATAAAATTAGAAATTCTATACATATTACTTAAATAACAGTATATTATACCATGTTTAATACTATAGGTACCATTTCTAGCACTTAAACATAAAAAAATATCAAAAAAACTTGGAGCAGTCATTTGACCGCTCGCCGTCTTTGTAGGTACATGATTTTTTCCGTCTTTCTAGTGTTAATTACATAATAAATCCACATTAAAATGTTAATTCTTATTATTTTCCGTTTGAGGCATTTGATAATTCGCGGGCAAAATCTCTGGGTTTTGGTCCCAGATACTAAAGTATCATATCAGTGTTTCGTTCTGTTACTAGATGGCAGTATTAACAATATCTAGAACTTTTACTTTCAGGTGTTTATGGTTTCTTTTATGTTTGTCTATGAATCATTCGATTCAATACCCGGTGTAGCGCGTCAAAATTTTCAGTCAATCACTTGCGTCCTTTTCATTCACTCTTTCACTTGAGCGCACGCCTGACGGGCGATGCGTGTTAAACTGTGATGGCTCTTTACAACACTTTTGTAAATTCAACATTTTTATGATATTTGTGTGCTTAGTATTCTTCTTAGTGTAATTAATTTTAATTTATATATATTGCGTTTACTTTAAAATGGCGAATCAATCCCAAAAAATCGTTTACAAGCTGGTCCTCACTGGAGGTAAGAATTGTTCCTATATTTTAAGTACTTAGTTTTTTTGGTTTTATCAATACTAGTGCTTCATTTTATAGTTAATTTAACAAATTTAGCTTAAACACCAGCAGTGCATAATAATTATTGTGTATGGTGTTAATTGGTGTCACGAAAAAAGCAACACGTGGATATTTGACGACGTAAATTTTACCTCGAAACCACATTGTATTTTTATTCAGGACCGTGTGGCGGCAAAACCACCGGGCAGTCCCGTCTCTGCACTTTCTTTGAGAACTTAGGATGGAAGGTGAGCAAATCAATTAATATTTTTTATGTAACTTTATCTAGAAAATCTCATTGATAACACAAAAGTAATTTAATTTTAATAAGTTCAGTCGTATTTTCATGAATTGCAAATCTGCTTCTTTAAATTATCGTCCAGTGAAATGTGTAAATCTAAACTCCATAAACATAGCTTTATCAAAGCTGTTATCACAACTTAGATATTTCGATTTCCTAAAACAATTTCCAGTGGTAATATTTCTAAATGTTCTAATTCTTTCACTAATTAATATTAGTTAATCCTCCAACAAAAAAATCTAATTTGGCTTTACTTAAGCAAGTTTGTACAATTAATGTACAATATTCCCTATAAATTGTGGTGTCTCCATCTGGAGATCATATATCATGGTTCCACAATGTGTTTATTTCCAGGTGTTCCGGGTGCCGGAAACGGCTAACGTGCTCCTCAGGTACGATGTGAAACTTACAAAAACTACACAGTGCATGACATACATAAATCCAAGCTTTTAAATTTACATTTTCTATGATAGTGTTATTTTAAACATTTTATTTCACATTTTCTGACCTGAAAATAACATAAATGACACATTTCCTGAAAATAACATAAATGAAACCATGGTATTTTAAAAAAATACCATGCTTCATTTATGCATTCTTTTAAACCCATCATTCAACAACCAGAGTGTTAATTCTCAACACTGGTTTCAATTTCTTCATTAAAAAGAAAATGCATTACTACAATCAGACTAAAATGTAAATTTAAACTCATATTTATGTGGTATACACTGTGAATTGTCTTAGTTTTTGAAATTTAAAAGCTTGCACGACACAAATATGCAGTAGTTGTCAATTTTATATGTTCATATGAAATTGGGAACTAATGCATAGGTGATCTAATAAGAATCAAAACATTAAATTTATACAAATTAGTATTTGTATGTAAATCATATTTCAATGTCAATTTTTTCTTTGCAGTGGTGGTATCAAGTTTGCAGATCTCTCCGCTGATGAAGGTAAGATTTGCATTATGCATTTTCTCTCACTAATCATTATTTCCTTCATCTGAACTTGTAGAATTAACAGTACTCAATAAATTGGTATTGCATACAGCTTTTACTCCTTAGTTTGCTAATTTTCCTAGTAGTGAATATTTAGTTCAATTATTCATCATTTATTTACATATAATTATTATGTTAAAATACTTAGACAAATGCAGGTAACTAAAACTGTCTGTTAATGTAATTTTTCTCAAATCATATAAACCATTGTGTTGGTTTTTAGAACTGACATGGGACCATGCGGAGCAAGTAGGAAAATGTTAATTATAGTACGGCAAATTACGTCAATTTATTTTAAAAACGTTAAACATATGATAAATTATATGTTCATTTTATAGGTAAAATAAGTATAATAAATATTGTATTATACCTTCTAGAAAAGGCACGCATACAGGAATTTCAAAACTGATTATGAACGTGAACATTTCAAACCACATTGTTCCATAGAATTTACAAACAAGAAATGTCGAACTCATGGTAGCATTTGAATTGACGGGCAGGAGATTTAACGGAACGTCGTAACAATGGGGTAAACAATTGATTTGATAGCAGCGTGTCATATTGCCGTAACATTTTATTGCATTGTTTGTTTAATAAAACATGTAGATTTATACGATTTTACCGTCTATTTTATAACATTTAATTGCGCGTCAATAATTAAACAAAACGAAATATTTTGTCGAAATCCTAATGTGTCTGCTTTTGTTTGAATTGGCAAGTGTGATGACCGGAAACCTTCACTGCCAGTGTCATTTAATGTTAACATTGGGTGTTGCCAAAATTTTAAATCACGCGGTTTTTCACCCCATCCTTGTATTTAAACCTTGCATTTTCCTCATGTAGACCTTACGGTAATAATAATAGTAGATGTAATATTTCTATTACTAAACCAAATCTAAAAATAACATTGTCATACCACTTACTTCGAACTCTAATTCGAGTTACCTAAGCCCCGTCTGATGTCAATGACTCTTATCTCATTACAAAAGTTGTAAGCTTCTAAATGCACGTAGCATACGATCCCAGTAACTGACACACGAACTAGAGAAACCGGTTGAGGGCTTTGATCGATATTATTGCGCCATAATACATTTCTATCTTTTTATTTGTAGTTTTTTTTACCACAAGGTCGAATTGACTTTCCATGTAGGTAAGGTACCTAGGAGATATTATCACGTAGGTTGGTTTCTACTTCATTTACACTGCTAGGGGCGTGACTGCATTTGACGTAAGAGTACCACGTGAGGTAGGTCGACCACGTACTTTGCCAAATGGTAATTGAATTTTCATTGCTAATGTAGTGTATAAGTGAGACTTGTATGATGGACAAATGTAGCTTTTCTCATTAGGTGACAACTGCTGAAAGGTTCTAAATATAGTAAATGAAGAAGTAAACAGAGTCTGGCATGTAAATAACACGAAAGGTTGTAGAAACAGTAAAGAATTTAATCATTCATATGACTACCTGATTTTGCTAAATAAAGACGTGTTTCTCCTATTTAAAACTTAATTATCTAATAACATGCCTAAAGTAGCATAAATTCTAGTTGGTGGCGTAGAAATCTCTGGAAGCAGCGTCTTTACGTAGAGAAGCCATAAAAGATCGTAATAGATCTAGTATGGTTATCACGTTGTCTCGCATGTTCCTCCAATGTTTTGATTTTTTCGTTAAACACAAACAGTTCATAGGTCGTGGCTTATGGTTCATATCACATGAACACCGATAACTTATAACCCGTTATATTGTATGACTAGTTTTAAGTTCCTTGTCATTTCAGGACAAGATGACTTTCAATTTTAATGTTATTCTTTGAGAATATAAAAGTTCCCCTAACTCTTAGGATGACTCATGAACTCTGCCTCTTTACATGTCATTACATATTTAAAGTATTAAACATTTACCTGTAACTGTTGATACATATCAAGTCCGCGTGCAAACCTTGTAAGTTTTTGAATACCTAAGGTCATACCACTTGGAAATCTCCCACCTGCATCATATGAGCCAAATGCATGATTCATATCTATACAATACTTGTTATGTATAAAAATCTCACAAATTCGGACGTCACCGAGAATTCCGTACCGTAATGCTTTGTCACCATACATATAGGATAGATAGTATCATATCATACCCTGCCAAGACGTAACGCCGGGCTAAAGTCCAATAAAACGAGTCTAGATCTGAATAAAACTCATTTAAAATTTAAAACTGGCAATAATTATGTTGCGTAACATCAAACGTATTTGTATTCTGTGCTACGCAGTGTATTTCGGTTGTTTTACATTGGTTTCAGTCACGTGCATCGTTTATTTTTGCTCCTAAAGCTCTAGGTGAAGACCGATTTGCGAGCTTCACTGGAGCTCCGAAACGAGTAGTGGACGCTTTTCTTGCTATTTTAAGGAACCTTATTATATTCCTGGTTACTTGTTTTAGTTTCGGTTCAGCCCCACTAAAGGTGTTGAAAAAATACATGAGCAAAGTTCCCTTCTTATTTCAATTAATCGAATGTAATTCCATAATTTATTCACAGAAGAAATTCAATTAATATTAAAGTAGGTAAGATTTATTCATTTAGTACGTACTACTTTCCATTCAATTGTATCGGAGTTATCGTTACGTGCTGGTAAATCTGTTTAATCCATTATCGTCAAGGCCTTTCGGCATTTACCCTTTGAATAATACATATTTCTTCCATTGGTATAATCTTCTTATAAAAATTGCATTATAAATGTATAGTCTAGCTGGGGTGGACTGGGGGAGGAAGGTTCGTTATGAGGCTTCTCGAGTCTCTCGACACGTGAATGTTTTAATGTGTGCGTAGCTGACGTATCGAGCATAAGCTAGTTCACGGTCACGTTCACGGCGATAGAAACACGTTGTATGTGGAATGCGTAGTTACTGGTTACGTATCAGTATTGTTCCTCACTGGAATTGATGACAATATTTTTAGTGTTGTAGCTGGAGTCTTTGGGTCAGTTATCATTTGATTCTTCATGCACTTTGCCATTGATAAACATAAAACCAGTGTAGTTATTCGTTGCTTACTGTTCTATAATTACTCCTGACTAATCAGGTTACTTTGTAATAATTTTTCGGATGTCATCATCTTCGGTAATGTTGATGATTCCAATAATATCCTTATTTAATCGACAATCAGGTTTTGATAATGATAGCTTCATATTTAAATTATGACCGCTTTATGAGTACCAGATCTGTTTTACGCATGAATTGAATCGACTGTTACTTAAAATCGTTTTTTACCAATTAAAACTGGTCACGACACAGTTCACAACGATTGATACCGAATAATACTAGATCGTTATTCGTAATACGTGCTGTTTTTAGAATCAATCGTCATTTAACTGGTTTATGTGAATTTTAAGAATACGGTGTAAAAATTTTATCTACTTTGAATGCTTCCGAAAAAGCTGTTGCTAAACACAAGGTTTTCGGATCAGGAGAACCGGAAACCTAGGGAGATTTTCGGTTCGAACAAAGCGTTGGGCCTGAACACGACCTCTTGGAATGGGATTAATATTTATTTGTCGATCCAACTGAAAAAAATGGCGCAGCTTCTTTAAAATATGTAATGTGCAAAAATGTTTAGGGTTGTTACCATGTCGAATAGGGAACCGATACTAACGGCCACACATGCGTTTATAATGTAACCAGTCTACCGTAACTAGGTGCAATCGTTTATTATACGCATGTTACCCATTAAACATAAATAGACAATCGTGGTGGATTCCACTCAAGCGGGGTTTTCCGTTACACTGCCTCCAATCGTTTAGTCGCCATCGCCAGTAGTCACCACTCGAATAAACTGAATAGAACTTGAAATCATTGTACTTGGTAATAGAATTATACGTAGATACAAACTGTTTGTCATCACCAGTCACCGTGTGACGTAGCCATCTGTGTAAATTGAGTGAAACGATGCCTGAATAAGTTCAGCATCCGGTCCTCAACATCCATTAAAATGTTTATCGTTTTATATCTACTGATATTTACACAAAACAAATGAAGTCACATGCAAACTCTGACGTAAAGACAACATTTAATTACTTTTGGCCACAATACCTGCTTTTATCTTGTACTTACATACATAATATGTCTTTTGTACTAAATATATTCTTTTCCATACATATATTAACATCATAAAAGCGATCTTTAAAACCGCTCTGTCTATATCTTCAAACGCTTTTCTAGTCATTTAAACGTAGTAATACATAAATATCTATTAATTGCCCGAGTGTTTCGTCGACATTAAAAATCTGAATGAGTCCAGATCTAGGATAAAAAATAAATGGGAGACAGTTTTGACAATATGCCAAAACGTCCAATTGCCATTTTATATCGTAGAGTAGAGTTAATATGAAAAGTCTCCAACCGAACTCGTTACTCGTTATAACAAATCAATTTCAAGAGTGCTCTTACTATATTCATTGGAAATAAAAACACGTATCTATCTAAGCTAGATATGACATTTACTATAATTTATAGCTTAGTAGTAGATGTTTGTGTCTAGCTAGCCTAAAGTGTTATTGACAAACACATAAAGCTCCCCTTATGGGAGTGACTAAGTTCGTTCGGACAGACATCGCACAAGGTCAAGGCGACCTTTACAAAATGGATATTGATTGATACTCAATGAATGCCCCCGATACCAATGCTAATAACCTATAACGGTAATACCATTTTTTGTAATTACAAACGTGTGTTTGATAAAAAAAAATATGAACAAGAACACGACTCTAGGCTACACAGGTGGGGAAGTATTGTTTCGTGGTTCAATAAAACTGGCCGTGTTTCTACGACCTCGTGCCCTTTTTAGTCTGATATCTTATGAAATATAGAAACAAACAATTTCGCTTTCTTGTCCTTAAATATTTAAGTACTTATCGCTTTGTTGTAAATAATAGTTCTCATAAAAACCTTTTGTTCCTAAGTGGGG